AACATTGTGTCACCTGCAATAAGCATACATACACTTAGCAAAATTGATTGGATTTAGAAGCCCTACAGACATCAAGTGAATCCTGAATTACTTGCTTTTTTGTGAAATTTGAGATAATCTCTTTTTTTTGTTACTGTTTATGGGAGAAACTAAGTAGTATATTTTTTCATATAAAGTAGACGTTTGAAAAGTATACTCTGGCTGTAAAAGTACCTGCTGAATATCGATTAGCAGCTCTACCCATCGTGTCAATGCGGAACTCTACTATCTTGGGCTTCTGTTTGTTGAATACCTCTAAAAAATATCATAACAATGAACTGAAAATTTTACTATAGCCTCTTCACTACAGTTCCAATATATCCTGAAAATATCATACAATTTGAATGTATCTATCCCTAGGATCCAATTTGAAGGTGGCTCTGAGCAATTCGTTAGAAAAATACCTACTAAGATCGATAATTCCACCAATAATATAGACAGCATCATGATCAAATGATGTCATTTCAACATTTGAATCTGGTGATAAATAAATCAATTTTTCATGTGGAAATATATCTAAATAATTTGATTCTGTTGCTTCAAAACATAAAGTATCTAATGATGATCGACGATCAAATTCAGCTTGTAATCGTCCTTGTTTCGATAAATTACATAAATAAACAAATGATGGTGAATGATAACGATGAATTTCAGCAAATAAATATTGTATTTGATCAACTAAATTTAATAAATAATATTCACGTGCATGTTCACGTTCAAAACCACAATCAATAACAAGCATTTCACCTAGACGTGCAGGTGCAAGTAATAATTGTTCACGTAAACGTTTTTCATGTTGTCGACCTAAATGACGAAATATTGATGAATATCCAGGATAATTTGTTGGTGGTTTTCCTTCTGCAAGTAATTCTTGACGGCGTTTTGCTGCTTCAGCACGACGAATATTATTTTCAGCAACAGTAGCTGCACGACGTTTACGATACATTTCACGAAGAAAAAGATATCTTAATAAAATTTTAATTCTTTAAAATTCAAAAACAAAACAAGATATGAATTAATTATTAACTTACCCATATAAACTTTTCCGAGATTCAATTAAAGGTAAATTTATTAATTCAGTCCATCGTTCATCAGGTATAATGTCTGGTACACGTTCACCACTTTCACGTAATGTTTGCATTTCTACAAAATCGAAATCAAGATAAAAGAAAGAAAAAAAGAAAAATAATTAATTTACCTATTTCAATAACACGTCGTCGTTGTTCTTCGGTAAGATCTGAAAATCCTCTTCGTTCACGTAAATATGCCCATAACCATTCATTATTATTATCTGTTAAATTTTTCGTCGATTTAGAATCCGATTCATTTGATGCATTATTTTGTTGATTAAATTCTTTTTCGGATGATACTTCCAATGATAAATTTGATAGTAAACATCGAGAATTATTTAATACGAAACGATTCGAATATTTAAAAACTATTGATGTAAAAATACGTGAAAGTAACATTCTTGAAAAGTATTTTTGTAAACTAGTAGTAAGATCTACAATCTACCATGAAATGATCATTTACTATCGTATAGAATTCAATGTAAACAGAGGTCGCACATTTTCATTGTAATAATCAAACATTTTTTTTCATTAAAATTCTTTTCATGAATGATCAACATGAATATCTATTATTGAACATATGATAAGAGACAAGAAATTTTTATTACGTCATGATTATCTTTTTTCTTTCTATAAGTTGATTAAATGCTCTTGGAGAGAAATATAATTCTATTATACTATCACCTCAGGGTGTTCGCAGTTGGTACTTAGTAGCTTACAATTAAACAGGATATACATAGACTTTATTATAAATCGTTCAAATTACTTTTCATTATCATTATTTAAATATAAACAAATTCAATATGTTTAGTTTTAATCAATATACATTGAAATTCATTGATTATTAGCATAAAAATAAAAGTTATTATAATAATTATTATTTTTTTCTTTCTTTTTTTTAATCAAAGACAATATTCATTTGATTACTAATGTTCGAATATTTTTTTTTTTAGTTTTTTTTTTTTTTGGTATAACAGTGCTTTTCCAACTGAACAGATATTAAAAAAAAACAATTGAATCAATATTTTTCTATATGATCAGAAACAAGACAAGATAACATCTTTGCATGCACATTTGTTCATTTATCAATCTCAGATGAACATGTGTTGAATGAGGATAGAAAAATAGATAAATGGCATGGTTCATTTATAATTGAACTAAAAGAAGAACCATCTTTATTCTTTTATATTGAAAGTTCATCATGCCCTTTTCATACGTCAAACAAATTGATTGTTGAATTATATCGATATATCTTTTCGTTTACGTCAATATCAAGATAATGCCAAAATGATTGTATATGTAATAGTGTGAAGCAATCGACAGTTAAGATCAGCAAGCAGGCTGTGATATGATTTTAAGTTTATTTCAACATTTCACAGACTGTTTACTGTTAGGAACTGCCTTCATTTGTAAATTTTGTTTATTACGATTCCAATAATATGAAGATAATATGTTGACACAAAAAAAAATTATATATACTATAATAAATTAGAAAATAAATTAATGATATATATTATATATACATATTGATGAAAGAATATTTCTTAATAAATTATTTTTCTTTTACCTTGATAAGACACGATGCATGTTCGCTTCATGTCAACAAAGCAAGACTGTGATATGATTTCGATTTTCACATAGCACGATCTCTTTGCTGACACAAATTGAGATGATTAAGAGAAGAATAAAGAAAGCAAGAAAGAGAGAAGAATTATATAAGTTTGTAGATTCTACAGTATTTACAGTGATGTAGCGAATATAGCAATAAACGAGAGAGAATAGAAAAGCTTTTTTTTCTCTAATCATCTTCACTTTTCATGTGTTAATGATTGATGTCGAATGACAAACACATTCGCTTGGGCGCTTTTTTCTATACTCATCTTCTTTTCTTTTCTACTATCTAAAAAAAAAAAGGAAGAGACAACTTGGAATACTCTCCTTGCTAATAATGATTTGTTCACTATGAAAAATCGATTCTATACCTTCTATTTGCTTTTAAGAGAGAATCTTCCGTTTTTTTTGTGCCTCATTTTTCTTCTTTCTTATTCTATTTCTTTTTTCTTTTTTGCTTTTTCTTCTCTTTTCGCTAGTACTTAACAATAGTAAAAGATCGAATGACAGACGAATGAGTTTACATAGATCTTTTATGATATATGAACAATAAAAAAGAAAAAAAAGAAAACGAATAGACAAAAGATAATGTTGAACTAAAAATTTTCATTTTAATTGATTACTTTTTTTTTGACATCTGGAAAGAAAAATTTTAATTGATTTACTCACCCATGAAATCGTTACAATTAACATACGGAATTGTAAATCTTATCCATTTTCTTGTTACCTCGAGTATTGCTGTATTAATACTACTGCTTCTCATCAAGACAGAGGCCAAGTAAATGATGTGATGATGCGCTCGCGTTGTCGACTGCAATGTTCTGCTCTCTCTCTCTCTCTCTGTTTCTCTCTCTTTTTTTCGATCGTCAATCCTTTGTTCTCCCTCGATACAAAAATAGATAGATAGATGCAGAACATGCATGGATGCCAGTTTTTTTCCTCGTTTCTTCTTTTCCTCTCTCTCTCTCTCTCTATCTTCTTCTCTTTTCTTATTCATGTTATTATTGACCTATTCGCACCCGGCACACGATCAAGAAAAGAGAAGAGGACGATAGCTAGCCTGGGATTAATGATGTAGTCGAAATTGTTTTTATGCATGCTTGAGAGATATATAGAGATAGATAGTTGAATAGAAGAAAAGAATAATTTAGTATGCTTATTTGTTTGTACACGTATATATATATATATATTTCTTGTTTTCACATGTTCGTCTTCATCTTTTTCTTCCATCACTTGATGCTAGTAACATTTGCACCCGAAACAGGACGCGCCCATTTCGACTACGCAGATAGGAATAAAGAAGGGAGAGAAAGAAAGAGAGAAATAAAGAATCGAATTTTCTCTTGCTACCAATGGCCCTACTAACATAAAATATAAAGAAAAGCAATACTAATGTGTAGCACTAAAAAAGAAGAAGAAAGAAAGAAAAAAAAAAGAGCAGCATGCAACAGCAGAAGCAATACTACTGAGTATTTTGACAAGAAAATTGGACTAGAGGATGATGGCACGCCAATACCATTGGCAGAACGGGTCTATTAGGGAATATACAAAATATGTGTTGTTGCATGCACGCGTCGACGTTCTGTTACTACATTCATCTACTCTTCTGAAAAACCGATGACGACAACGACGACAAAACTCATATCTTGGGGAAAAGAAATAAAAAAAAGAGACAGAATGTTTTATTCTTTTACTACTGCTACTAACACCACCCATAATCATCATCATCATCATCATCAACAACATCTTTGCTTTATCCGAAAAGCTAGTTAAATAGGAAAAACGAGAGAAAAGAGAAAGAAAGATGATGGCGCCTACGCCTGCTCTCTCTCTCTTTTCCTCTCCCTCTCTCTTTCTGTTTCATTGACGACTGAGTTGAACAGTCAGTATGATTGTCTATCAGCATCGTACACTTGAGAAAATGAGTGATGATGTACGCCTGCAGATGCGCATGAATAGAATTGAACATTGACACACGTTTTATTCACTTCATATCAAACGTAGATAGATACATTTATATTTATACATACAAACCAAACAGGAAAAAGAAAAGCAAGCAACAAAAAAAAAATAAAAATAAAAAAGAACAAGAAAGCGAATAAATATAAAACAAACATTTTTCAAATAAATTCTTATTTGATAACAATCAAATACTTGTACATCATTAGATTTTCATACAAGATTATCATTGAAAAAAAAGAATATCAAAAGAAAATTTATTTGAATAAATGTAGTTCAATTGATTTCTAGCATATCAAAGCTAGAAATCGTTCTTTAACCTCATCCGCCAGCCATTGGTGCACAACCGGGACCTATTTATTAATAAAAGAGAAAGAAAAAAAACAGATGAAAATAAATCATTATTAAGAAGACAATATTATTGTTATTATTATGTTTTCTTTACCTCCACCTGTACCACCAAATCCACCCATACGTCGTCCTGGTCGTGCATTAGGAGGTCTGAAAGAAAAAAGAAACCACTTTTTTTAGTGCGTGTTTGATAATTGAAAAAAAATTGAACAGTATGCAAAATTTGTCATACATGACTTGTTGAAAATCTATTTCCGTACGCATCCATTTTCTTACAACAAGAAAAAAGAAAAAAAAAAATCATGCACGCAATCTTACCGATCGAATCGACCTCCTCTACCTCCACCACCGCCACCACCGCCACCACCGCCACCACCGGTACGATAATTAGTTGATTCCACATTTCTTCCATATTTAGTCAAAGTTGGCTAAAAAACAAAATTGTAAATTAAAATTTTAGTATATAAAATAAATGTTAACATACATCAACCAATGAACGAAAACTAAATATAAAAAAGCAATAAGGTAAATATATATCAACGAAATAAAAAAAAAATATTTCTTACAATAATATAATAAAATTGAAAAATGAAACAATTAAATAATAAAGTCCACTTGGTGTCCATATTGGTCGTTGGTCACGAACCGAACCTACATAAATAAATATATGCGCATCAAGTATTATATTCAAGTAACTTGATCTCTTTGTAAATTTTAGTTTTTATTTACAGTCTACTATTAGTCAAGAGAGAAAAAAAAAGAAGACGAGAATGTATACCGGAAATAAGACACGATTATAGTGTGACAATTGATTCTTTTTTTTTTTTCTTATTCTCTAATCCGATGATCAATAATGCACAATGACAGATGAAGGTGACAAGAACACGCCTGTTTTTTTTTCTATATTTACCAGTGTTATCGACGTAGACCATTACGTGAATATTCGTATAGAAATTAAATCTAAAAACAATCATCCCAATAAAAATAACTCCCACGGAAAAAAACAAAAAGAAAAAGAAAAACTTATTATGCTAAGTAATAAAAAAAAAAACAATAACAAATAGTTCCTATATAATCGAATAATTAATAAAAACTAATATAACAATGAATGTCTTGTAAATTGGATTCAGATTGTTTGTGTTTATTTTTAATGCAATTTTTGTTTTATTTTTATAATTCGACTTTGTCAGTTGAACCACTAGAAAAGAGAAAACGAAATGTAAATAATAAAAATTATAATGAATATATTTACATTAAAAATTGTAAAAGGTCTTGTTCACCTCGACCACCATGATATTCTGATGCAAACTCACCATTTCTATTTGAATGAATACAAAAGAAAAAATTACGTTTACGATTCATATACTTACTCAAAGTATATAACTAAAATGATAAAAAAAAATAGAAGATTAAAATTTTTAATAATAAATATTTTTAAATTAATAACTTACATGTTGGAAAACCTTTAACTGAATATTTACTACCCAAATCTCTATGAACAGTTGCATCAACAGCACCAAGAACAATATCCTAGTAATAGATAGAATCATTAGTTTATATTGAAAATTTTCTTTTCTAATTAAATGTAAGTCAAAAATATTTTCGGTGAGACAAAAACTCTCGGTTACAACCATAATTTTGTGTTCTTTTTGAATAAGGAATTAGAAATGAAGATTATACTTTTGTTCGAGAGTAGACTAAGAATTTAAAAACGACTCAAAAAATCAGAATGAATCATAAATCAACGCCTATAGGTCTTTTTTCAGAAATGCTAAATATATCGTTTGGTTGAGCGAGCACTTTTATTGAAATGAATTTATAAGACCTTTGTCAAGTGCACCTTTCTATACAAAATAATTTTCTAGAATAGCATCTGCTTTACAAGTGGATATATAACTTTTACATTCAATATGCCATAGTAGAATCAAAAAGAAAGAATAAACACAAGGAAAAACTTCTTTTATTTACGCCTTTCAAAGATTACATCATTCGTCTCGAACAAATCTTGATTGTCAGCCGTGTTGATCCTACGAAAGTATTTCAGGTTATCTTTACATGACACTAACAAATGTGTCTTAAAATTCTAATCTTTTCTAGTCAATAGAATCTCTATCGATAATTTACATTAGTTCTACATGCATGAAAAGATCATAAAGATGAACTTCTAAAATTGTATGGATATTTTCTCAATTTAAATTATCTTTTCACTGCTTGTCTGCTTTTTATATAGAGAATTACAAATAGAAAAAACAATACATCATCATTGATAAGGGAATTTACATTTGGGTACTATCAGATAATACGACTAGGAATATAACAACGATGGTGATCACCAATGTACCGATCTCTGTTAGTACTGCATTAGTTTCCACATGCAAGTATAAACTAACAGTGGATGCATGATAAAACTACGATGATCTTAGACAAACTCATCCAAGAGTATCATAGTGTTATCATGCGTTCATCGTCGTAATCATTATTCTATACGTACATATTTAGACTAGTGCAAACATTTGTACGTAAGACTGAAGCATCGGGATCATTGTACGGGATGATCATTCCGATCATCAGAAAAAAAAAGCATATTACTACGTCACTGTAATCTACTAGTCTATATAACGGATTGCTTTTCTCAATGGCAAGCGATCACCATTTTCCGAGCTTACGAAAAACGGCGATATAAAGACACTGTTTTTTTTTCAACCTAGGCAGTAGTACGGTATGCAGGTAGACAATGCACTAGTATATCCTTTAATACATCTAATTAAATAGAACTGCATTCAAATAAGGTTATTCGATAATTTCTCAATCGACAGAGAAAAATATCTACTTAAGTATAGTGCACTTTACGTAACACTATGCGTTAAAAAATTCCTCAACGATCTACAAAAATTAATATGAAAAAATTTTAATTGATTATTAATCTTAATTACCTGATGTGTGGAAGCAAGTTGAGATGCAACAGATGCAAAAGCAGGTTTGGCATTTTTACAATGGCCACACCATGGTGCATAGAACATAACTAATGCTTTACGTGATGGACCAATAATTGAATCAAATGTACTTGATCCAAGCATATGAACATGTTCATAACCTGGTGCTGAATCTTTCCAAAATTCAATTGGATCAGCCGGTGGTGGTGGTGTAGGTTTAGGTTTGTTCATTTGTTCTTCTGGATTAGTCATAAATTCAACAAAAGCTTCTTCCTTAATTAGTATAAATTATTTTTTTTTTAAGTTAATTTGAAATTTTTTTTTCTTACTGTTCTTTCACTTTCGTAATCCGAAATAAATTTTCCAAAACTAAAATATTTTATTGTTGGATAACCTTGTACTTCATATTCTTTACATATTGATTGACTTTTTGTACAATCAACAGCAGAAAACATAACCTAATCAAACAAAAGATAAACGAATTTTTTATTTTTATTGTAGAAATTATTTACTTTTGGATTGTCTTTAAATTTTTCTGCAGCACTAGTATACAAAGGTTTTGCTTTTTTACAATGGCCACACCCTAATAAAAAATAAAAAATATATTCATATCATTGTTTATTGTTATGTTATATTAATTACTTACATGGTGCATAGAACATTACTAAAGCAGATTTCTTTTTCTTTAAAATTGCTTTATAACTTTCTTCATTTAAATGAACAACATCTGTTTCTTGCTCAGACCATTCTGGTTCAGGTGGTGGTGGTGCTTTTGGACTGAAGTAAAAATCTTTTTTCTTTTTTTTTGTTCAATAAAATTTTCAAATAATTTCCTTACTCTTTTAAAAACTCAACAATTTTTTCAGCTGTTCTTTCATGCATATCGAAAGCATACTTTCCGTCTCTAGAAATTAAATGAAAAAAAAAAATTATTTATTATAACAAAATAACTAATTTAACAGAAGCCCAAAATTATAATACATTCAACAGCAACATGCATAAACTTACTTGAAAAATTTCACTAAAAAAATAGTTATAAATATACAACACACACTTATTAGCAAATAACAACAAAAAGAAGATTTTAATAAAATGTTTTGCTTTTCAACATACTTGTTGGAAATCCTTCGATTTTGTATTGTTTTGACAACTTTGGTGATTTAGTTGCATCGATAGCAGCTATTATAGCATTACTCTAAATATTAAGACAAAAACAAAAACAAAGCAATCATTAGATATCTTATGTGAATGATTTTTTTGTTGAACCTGTTGGTCATGTAAATCAACTGATGCTTTCACTAATTCTGGTTTCAAATTTTTACAATGTCCACACCCTATAAAAGAAAAAATTTATAGGAATCATAAAATAAATCTTTCTATTTATTCAGCTGTTAAGCAATTGTATCGATATGAAAAATTACTGAGCTCAGTTCGACGCTTGTCATGATGTTTGTTTTTTTTTTTTAATACTCATATATACTTACGAGTCTAGGACAGTTGCCCTCGGAAGGATCATCGTCGAACAGATTCTACCTTAATTTTTTAACGAATGATGTACAATAATATTATTTCAAACAATAAATTCAATCATTTGGGAATAGTTACGGAAGATGAAGAGCTTCGATTACTTTGCAGGATGAGTTACATCCTAACGGCAGCTGCTGTAGTCCGATATATTTCCTACAACTATAACTTGCTCTAGCTGTGGAGAGAAGACGATCCTGGTGCAGAGTTTTGGCACTTAATTACCTGAACTTTTCACATATAAACTAACTGCAAGAGCATATATATGGCACAACGTAGTTAACATGCTGTCGGATGGGTGACTCAACAAAAACGGCTTTAGTGACGTGGTTAGGATCATTTCATGACTAATCGTACTAAGGTTTGAACATCATATCTTGCAGTTATTGTCGAACTACGTACTCCCTTAGCAATAGTGATATTTGAGTGTGACTGACAACAAGTTTCATTCACTCGCATCTCATGTCGAGCAGTTAATCTCCGAAGCAAAAAGAAACACGAACCTTTCAACAAACAAATACAACATTTGATTAAAAACCTACATATAGACATTAACGATCAGTTAAATTATATCAAGCTTATATTGTCTCCATAAATTTTCTCGATACTTTTATTTATTTATTCTAGCGGAGCAAGTAAACAATACATTGAACTAGTTCTTTTTAGATTTTCCTCAAAGAAGATTTGTCCTATAACGCAAGTGTCCTAGTGCAGCTATGTTTGAATGAGTAAGTGTCCAGTTTCTATACTTACATGGTGCGTAAAACATTGTTAAAATAGGTGATTGAGCATTTTCAGTAATAAACGCATCGAATGTTGCATCATCCAAATGAACAATATAACTAGAATTGTCACTATCAATTGGAAAGAATTCTGTTACAGTTTCCTCGTCTGTTTGTTCTTTAGGTGGCTGTGGACTAAGAATATAATTATAATTTTCTACTATAATAGTAAACAATATTTAATTAATATTACTTTTTAAGCCAATTTATAATATCATCTTTAGTATGACCACCACTATAATGAAATTTTTCTTCACCTTTTCTAGAAAAAGCAAAATAATTTCCCTAGATACTTTCAGATAATATGTTCAATATTCATACTCAAAATAGATAATAGTAGGAAATCCAGTTATATTGAATTGTCTTCGAATACGATAATTTTCGGCTTTATCAACATTCATACCAGCTAAGATATATTTACCACGAACATCA